GTGTCTAATTTATCAACATGTCGGTTCTCTGAACCATTCATCTACAGACTCTGTATGTGTTACTTCAGACTTAATACCCGTTTTTATGCAACAGTTCAAGCGATCTCGGACTTTACAATGCCACCCACCCCCCTTCCCGATACTTCTATCTACTTGGAACAATTTGAAACCCTGAATGTGACATTCTGCAGGCATGTCCCGACTTTTTGAATTAAACCACGTCTCAGTAATGGCAAATACATCTATGTTACCTGCACTAGCAACTAGTCTCAACTCGTCCATCTTATTCCTAGCACTGCGACTATTGTGTAATAAATATTTAATGACCCTCCTCTCTCTTTACCCTTTTCCTGCTCCTTTCTGTTATTCCACTAAACCTATTACTGTTCCTTGTCAAATTAGTGCCCACTCTGGCTTTTCCAATATCCAACCGTCATTTTTGCCTATTACTAGTTCTCCTAGTAACTCATGTTACTAACCCCTGCGACTTCCACAGTTTTCCCGCCAAATACCCTACACTAAAACTATTTCCAATTTTAAAGACCTGAACAATCTCCCTCCACAGGCGTGGCCAAGTGCTCCCAACACCCACACGCTAGATAAGTGAACCCCATCCCTGTCAAATAATTGACATTTCTGCCATAAGAAGAGGTCCCATTGTCAATGAAATTTTAATTACCGCAATTTTTTTCCCTTACAGTATTTGTTCCAAAAGCAGCCAGCAAATTGACAACCATTTTTGCTCTGGTAAACCATTCCATTTTCCAACTCCTCTCCTTGACAGGTTTCCCCCCCTTCCTCCCTAAATTATCTCTAATTGCTAGACCTATACCTGCTAAATCATGTCCCTCACTTCTACTCTGCCAACATCGTTGCCTCCACCAGAGACAGATAATAAGGAATTGCTCCCATTACCTCTCCATGAAAAGTCACCAACGGCTAACAAAAATCCTTCTCCGGATAGTTCTTACAGTAAAAAGGAAGTGGAAAATGATGAATTCCCCTAAACGCTTGATCAGTTAGTTACCAAAAAGAAATGAAACCAGGATATCGATAAAGTGGCAGAAAAAAACCCTGATCATCCTCAACCTTCACCTCAGGTTGTGGCACTCGTGAACTTCAACTGATCGTTTTTTGTTCCTCAACGGCAAGATAAAACTCAATATTTTTTCCGGTGTGGCCCAGGCCCCTCTGACTTCCAGTAATGATTGATGAATATGACGTGGGAAATTGTTGATTTTATTGCGCTCAAAAAACGATCATGTCTAGTAGTGATAGTGAAGGAAATCAATATTCACCAGTAATCTCGGTATGCCTAAACGTACCGCAATGCGCGTCGGGTAAGTTTACCCTATGCTGGTTGCCCAGGGGATAATGGATTAACATCCCGGAGTAACTCCTGTGGCCCTAACCCACCAATTTTTAAGTGTAGTGATAAGTGAGTGAATGATGTGGGCTACACTTGGCATGGATATAACCACAGGCCTATCAGTGGATGTGTTAATGGTGATGGTAGATGGCACCCGCCATGCGAGGAAACTCACAAGCCAAACCGCTGGGACCAACGCTTCGACCTCGTCAGTTTTTCAAGGAACAAAGCGGAGCGTCAGCCACCAGCCCACCACAACCACAACCACCCGCACAACCAGCCTATGATGTCCAGTATCCACCAGCAAACCGTATGTGGGATTGGCAGCAAAATCCCAATTTTGTTCCCAAGCCCCACCACTTTGATGACTCTCAAAGTGGAATTCTACCTACTTGTCCCCTTGGAACCACGGCCAATGAACTGGAATTCTTTGAATTATTCTTTGACCAGCCATTGATGGAAACTATTGTCAGGGAAAGTAATAAGTATTTTGAGTACACCATGGCAAATACGATCATATCACCACAGTCAAGACTACACAGGTGGAAAGAGACGACTGTTGCAGAAATGTATTTGCTTTTTGCAACAATAATGCTTATGCCTCATGTCTATAAGCATAATATAAAAGCATACTGGTCCACAGATCGGCTAATTTCTACCCCGGTCTTCAGTGAAATCATACCAGTGAACAGGTTTATCTTACTCTTACGTATGTTGCACTTCTCTGACAAAACCAGGCCTGACAGAAGTGACAGGTTATACAAGATTAGAAATGTTTTCATGTATCTCAAACAAAAGTTCAGCATATACTTTTATCCATTCAAGAATCTTGTAATTGACGAGTCTTTGATTTTGTTCAAAGGTAGACTGTCATTCAAGCAGTATATACCGAGCAAGAGGAAACGCTTTGGTATAAAACTGTTTGTACTCTGTGACTGTGACAGTGGCCTGGTGTTGGATATTGTTGTATACACGGGAAGTAAAACATTGAAAGATACCAAGATGTTATTGGGTATCTCAGGTGACGTAGTGAGAAACATGATGGCACCTTATCTTGGTAAGGGGCATACATTATATACCGATAACTGGTACACAAGCCCATTACTCAGTGATTTCATGCGAGTGAACAAGACAGATGTGTGTGGCACAGTGCGTTCTAATCGTAAACATATGCCCAGGCTCAACGCAGGTGCTCGTGGTGATGACGTGCAGGTGTTTACTGCCAATGACATCATGGCATTACGGTGGCATGACAAACGAGATGTCACATTGTTGACAACCATTCACCGTAATGAAATGCAAGACAGTGGCAAAGTTGATCGAGTGACTAATGAACGTATTCGAAAACCAGTGACAGTGATTGATTATACACAAAACATGCGCTTGGTTGACAAATGTGGAACTGTGCAGATTGTTTTTGTTGCAATCTGTGTTTGCGTAAGAGTTACAAGTGGTAAGCACAATGAAACTTTACTTTCCAACTCATGGAAACATTTCAAATGCTCAATGCATATAATATGTAACCAAATAAAGCACTGGCCATCAGAACACAACCGTATGAGTGGAATTTTGGTTTGTTCTGTTGTCCAGACAACTCCATAATGAAGTACCAGGTAAGAACACCTGCTATACAACAAAGGTCCTCTCGAATTCCTCAGGATAACCCAAGGGCGTTTGAAAGAGTGGAAGGTGATCCATGTTCATAATAACACTTCCTTCAACTCCAGAAGAACAATTTTGCTCAGAATAGAAATGCATCGTGCTGTGCACAAAACAAAACGACGGCAACAAAAATGCAAAAGACAACTCGGTGTAATGTGTGAGGAAAAAAATGAAGGTGCCTCTGTGCAATGGTTCCCCTTTTTTCATAAGGGAGTTCCAACAAGCCCCCCAAGCAGTTCTAAAAACCATGTCCAGTGATTGTAAATATGTAAATATATATAGAACAATTAGTATTAAATTAAATACAAGATTTTTGCATGTTTATTTAATACAACAACAGTGGTAAACAATAATTATGATAAAACTTTAGTGCGGTTAATTGTTGTTCAATACAGTGAAGTTTAAATATATATACAATATATACAGTATTGGGTACCCCCTTCTAGGACCCCACATGTTAGTAGAAATAAAAAAAAAATTGGAAAAAGGAAAAGAAAAAAAATGTAAAAACTGCAAAATAATGTAAGGCGCGTAATGGGGAAATTACGTCGATGTTGCCGCCACCACATAAATCATTTTTGACAACTTTCTTGGCAAACTGTAAACTCGGGTACAGTACTGATCAGAAGTTTTTTTTTTCTTAGATTACCTTCAACAAAAAAAATATGCTCTTTAAATTCTGTAAGAAAAAAAAATAATTTTTTTTTTTTTTTCATCAAAAATTTCTTTGACACTGGAGCACCACTTCAGATTTTGGCCTTGGACCCTGAAGGGGTTAATATCGAAATACCGGGGGGCCACTGTATATACATCTGTCTTGACCACACCTGTGGTTACATATGTGACAACCTCACCACTAATCATAGATAAACACAAGCTAGGTGTGGGATTATGGACTGGGAAGATACTAGAGTGGGAAAGTAAATGGCACGAGGATGCTGCCGCCGGTGTTGCCATCACTTGCCATATTATGGCCTATTTTATTCATTTTAGAATATATATCATGTTTCTGTTATTAATATTGTTTATTATGTCATACTTGATGAATTGTGAAAGATAACTAAGCCGTAGAGTTGATATTTGCATTATTTTGTCATGCCTCCTGAGAAGCTGGAATGGATTAATTGCATTTCAGTTAATTTAAATGAGGAAAATTGACTCAGCATATGAACAAATCAGGATATGAACAAGGTCACGGAACGGATTAAGTTCGTAAGCAAGGTTCCACTGTATAGTATCCTCTTCACTTAGCGACAAATTCGTTTACTGACATGGTCTTAGGAACAGAACTCCGTTGTTAAGTGAGGAGAGGCTGTACATACTTAGTTGTCAAAATTCAGTACTGTATGTCATTAATGAGTTTATCACTTTCTGTTGATAAAATAAAAATTGTATGACAATACCTAAGCAGAACTTTACAATATTTTATTAGCTTCGAGTCTATCATGGACTTCTCATAGTTGAGGGAAGTTTGCTGTAAACAAATTTTCACTTAAAATATTAAGCTAAACTGGAGATCTCTACAAATAAAGCATAGTATACAGGTGAATCTTAAGATATACTGTTAATAGACATATTATATCCTCTTCCAATTGTTTTGTTACAGGTGATTTATATGATTTTTTAGTATAATGTGGCATTGAAGAATTCATGCTATTGCTTTTTCTAAATACAGAGGCAATTAAAATTTTAAAAATGTGAGCTCCAGTAAGCTGGCCTTTGTGTTGTGCTAGTATTCCTCACTCAGATATTTTAGCATTACGTGAAGTCATTCTTTCAGTCACTGAAAATTTACTTGTTTGTAATCAGCATTTCCAGCAATATAGAATAAGTGCATATTTTGACATTTAGAGGAAGTGTATATGTTAACCTCTGGCTAAGCATAGGCACATTATATTTGAAAAGAATATCTAAGAGTTACAGAGTGAAATAAATGATTTTGTCATGAGAGAATGTTTGATATTTTCAGGGCGAGACTGTGGATGAGTGGTATAGCTTAACTGGCAAACTTGGAGATGGTCAAGAAGGCACAGTTAATATTGTCATGTCATACTCGGTAAGTCACTTTTGATAAATGTATATTAAAATATTGCACATCATAAATGTTGTGATTTTCAGTAAGGTTCAAAAGGAATCCAGTATTGTTTTTTATGTGTTTAGGAGAATTATTCCAGAAGTCATCTTAAAAAAATGGGTAACAGTATGAAGATTACTTGAGAGAATAGTAATTTATTGTCATACAGTACTAAGTATATTCAAATATGGTACATAATATTTTTGGTTTAAAATGACTAATAGTTACCAGTAGTAGGTGAGCCTGGGCTATAAAAGAAGGGATTTGAATTCATTTAAAAAATATGATATTTACATAGTCCCTCCTACAGCTAGAGAAAATGTAATCATATTTTACTCAGCTGTGTTCCTTGTCCCGTTATATTTCTGCCTAGTTACTTCCCAAGACAGCAAGCAGTCCTTAAAGGCAGGAGATTTCTGTTTGGATTTACAGTGGATCCTCAGCTAACGATATTAATCCGTTCCTGAAAGCTCATCGTTAGATGAAATTTTCATTAGCTGAATTAATTTTCCCCATAAGAAATAATGGAAATCAAATTAATCCGTGCAAGACACCCCAAAGTATGAAAAAAATTTTTTTTTACCACATGAAATGTTAATTTTAATACACACAAACTGACACTTACCTTTATTGAAGATCTGGTGATGATTGATGAGATGGGAGGAGGGGAGAGTGTAGAAGTTGTTAATGTTTAGAAGAGAAATCACCTTCCATTAGGACTTGAGGTATCAAGTCCTTTTCTGGGGTTACTTCCCTTCTTCTTTTAATGTCACTAGGACCAGCTTGAGAGTCACTGGACCTCTGTCGCACAACATATCTGTCCATAGAGGCCTGTACCTCCCGTTCCTTTATGATTTGTCTAAAGTGGTTCACAACATTGTCATTGTAATAGTCACCAGCACGGCTTGCAATAGCTGTGTGAGGGTCATTTTCATCCATAAAGGTTTGCACTTCAAGCCACTTTGCACACATTTCCTTAATCTCTTTCTTCATATCCATAGTAATTCTCACCCTTTTTCCTGCAGGGTTGGCATTAGAAGCTTTCTTGGGGCCCATGGTGACTTAGTTTGCAGGTACAGTCACTAAAAATGCTGTGATAATATGAAATGTTCTGATTGTATGCATGGATGCGACTGCACTGGCTGGCTTTTAAACACTGGCACCCACGCGCATCTCGAACGAATCGCGTTGGGTGAGTTTTTTAGCGTTAGCTGAGGCAGAATTTTTGCGTTAAAATGTATTGTTGGCTGGATTTAACATTAGCTGATGCCATTGTTACAAAAAACGTGATTCTAAAAGCTTAGAGATCTCCAGTGAATACTAGAAAGGACTGCCCTTCTAGCATCCAGCCTGTTACTGGGTTTTCGTAACAATTAGTCAGTATCCTTGTTCAATTATCCATTAGAATTCAGTATGATTCAGTAGTGCTTCAGGATTACAACTGGTAGGCTACTAACTAGAGAAATTAAAATTTAATAAATTTATTAAATATTTTCTAGAGGTATATATTATATTAAATTAATAATGATCAAAATGATAATAATAATAATCACTTCTCTCGTATACAATAGTATTGTTCTGAAAGCACATATCACATTTATAATTCTTAAGTACCGTCTGGTACATTAACATTTAATAAGATATTACAAATATGTACAAGTAAGTTTGTGTATGTGTGTAAGTGCTCTAAGTAGTTCGCTATGTCTCTAGACTCGACTAGACTTAAACAAGTGACTGACAAAGTCCTCAAATAAACTAACTTCTTGACCAACTGGCAATCAGAACAGTCTGCTTGAACAATAAAAAGAATGCTAATAGCAATATAACAAGCAACTGCGACACAGAATCAGGAACAAGGAGATAATATAACGACACTAAGTAGGGACCATCTGCAGATCCTCCACAAGTCGCCAAACTCCCATACTACTGAATCTAAGTTCAGCATAAGAAAATCCCCGACTGTGATAATACACAGATACCAGTACAAGTTAGGTCAGAAGCTACAGCTCAGGACCTGAGTTGCTCAGAGTGTCTATGCGACACACAACCTCAGTACAATGTCGAAAATCACTAAGTCTATACACTGTTCTGTGAACAGTCTCCAGAACTAACAATAATGAGACGAGACGATCTTCCAACAAGTGCCTATAAGGGAGATTTAGGCACTTTGTCTGGAATACGTCCAACCACCCAGTGAGTCTAGACCAGACTGAATACTTCAGGCGAGGTGAGGACACCCCCCCCCCTCGATCACGTGATAGCTCCGTGGGTCGTTGCCCAGCAAGAAGCCGGCAGGGAAACGAGCAAAGAGCGATAATTACAGTAGTTAGACAATCAAGACTTGAACTGAGCACATAATATGTTACATCCTACCTAACAACATAACTAAGTCAAATAATAATATAAAGCAATACATTTACAATTTAGCTATTATCGCAAATATAAGCAATATAAAATTATATTAAAAGGTAATAATTATATATATACATATTAATCATTGCAACCCATTCAGGGGTTGCAACACCCCCACAACACGACAAACGGTCGCACTAGGAGTTGCATTAATGTCTTTCACATTACTGATTACTCAGGTTACATTACTAACAGTTTAATATAAAAAAATATAAGGGTCAATCTTGTGCCAAGCACTCTATAATTTCACAGTGTATATACAATAAGATATGCCTCTAGTACTAGGGCAGTACACAGTATCGTATCTCCGCATACTCGTGGTTATGTACATCAGTGCAGAGACAGGATAGCGCAGACAAGCCTGACACGTTGAGGCTCGAATGTAGTAGTGTAGACAGCATAATAGTCTTGTGTTATAGACAGGAGACAGCATTCCACTCTTAAGTAGTGGTTGTGGAATGCTATGCAGTATGGACATCTGAGTATGAAACAGCTTAAGGTGTGTAGTGGGGGGGGGGGGTCTGCGGCAGGACATTGTTGCGCCACACACAGTAACATCGCCCACACAACACTACCCACTCATCACTCAGCTTCTGTCTCCTTACACACATATCAATACTGTGAATATATAAATATAATAATTAGACATGAGTATATATAGTTAATATGGGCTGGAGGGATTAAGTTACTCTACTGAATTTGACATAGCAAGTAACAAAAGGAATTTGGGCATAAAATTACGTTAATTTAATGTAACTGATAATTATTAAGGACATGACAGAGCGTCAGCAATTACATTACAATGACCACTTATGTGTTTTATACTAATAGAATAAGGTTGGATTCTGAGAGCCCATCTCATGATCCTAGCATTTTTACTCTTCATAGTGTTTATGTAGGTGATTGGATTGTGGTCTGAAAAAACGTTAATTTTAAATGGGGAAGTGCCCAAATACACGTCAAAATGTTCCAAGGACACCACAAGAACTAGAGCCTCTTTCTCAATAGTGGCATAATTTTTCTGGTGTCGTTTAAGTTTAGATGAATAGTAACATATAGGATGGAGAATGTCAGTGGATGTTGACTGTTGGAGTAGCACAGCACCCACTGCATAGCCACTTGCATCTATATGTAAAAAGAAGGGAAGATTGAAATTAGGACTTTTCAACACAGGAGCAGAGATAGCAAGCGCTTCAACCTTTTGAATGAGTCTGAACAATCTCTAGTCCAGGTGAACTGAACTTTGCTACTAGTAAGCTCAGTGAGAGGAGCTGCAATCTGAGAAAAGTTTGGACAGAACCTGCGATAATATCCTGCCATACCCAGGAATCTCTGTACTCCCTTCCTATCCTGTGGCACTGGAAATTCAGAAATTGCACAAACCTTAGCCTCAATAGGAGCAACCTCACCTTGGCCGATACAAAAGCCTAGATAGGTAATCTTGGCTTGACCAAAACTACATTTAGCTAAGTTAACAGTGAAGTTGTAGTGTGCCAGTCTCTCAAACAATGCTCCGAGACGCGTCAAGTGCTGTTCCCACTCGTCACTGTACACCACTAAGTCGTCAAGGTAGGCTTTTACTCCTTCTAAGTTGTGGGTCAACTCGTTCATTATATGTTGGAATGAAGAAGCCGCGTTACATAGGCCGAAAGGGGTGACGAGGTAGTTAAACAATCCATCTTGAACAGTAAAAGCAGATATTTCTTGAGCACGTTCAGTGAGCTGGACTTGATAATAGCCTCGTAAGAGATCTAAACGGCTGACAGACTGGGCTCCTGACACACGGTCAATAAGGTCGTCAATGCGAGGTAGAGGATAACCATCAGGCAAGGTGACAGAGTTCACTTTCCTGTAATCAGTGCACATCCTGAAACTACCGTCAGGTTTAGGCACTAAAATACAGGGAGATGCCCATGGACTTTTACTGCGCTCAACAAGTCCGTGAGATAACAGAAAATCAACCTCTTCTCTCAATGCTTTATGCTTTGTTGGACTCATCCTATATGGTGATTGCTTAATGGGTGATGTTCCCTGTACATCAGCGTCATGTACACCTAGAGTACAACGTTTAGGAACATCACTGAACAATTCAGGGAAATGCAAAATCATGTTTTTAATATCACTAGCTTTATCAATCCCCAGGTTACTAAGAAAATCGTCTAGTGATTGTAGAGTCACTGAATTTTCTAAACGAACCTCTATACCTCTAGAGATATCAGGTAGACTGACGTTTTCTTCCTCTGTCCTAGGAAGAATAGAAGTAGTAGGTAGAGGACTAGCGTAGTATGTCTTAAGCTGGTTAACATGGTATACATGATTAGATTTCTTTTTCCCAGGCGTACGTACCAAATAATTTACGTCGCTAAGCTTTTTCACTACTTCCAGGGGGCCATCATACCTGGCTTGTAGAGCATGACCTGGTACTAATTTCCGAGCCATCACCTTATCTCCTGCTTTAAAAGAGCGAGAGACAGCACGCTTGTCATAATGTTGCTTCACTCTAGCTTGGGCTGAAACTAGGTTTTTCGAAGCTAGCTCTAGCGGCTGTCAAATGTTGCTGCATTAATGAA